ACACTAAATACTTAATTCCCTCAGCTCCAAAGACTATATTCTTCCTATTTTACTTCTGAAATTAGGATGCATCTATTAAATATGTGTGGTCTTTTTCAAAGACTGTTAAGTTTATCCTGTTATCTCACAATGAATGAAATTCTAGAAGTGAAAACTGATAGCTGCCTGACATCTGACTGAATCATCTCTTCTATTGAGGTCTGTTTTCTTACCTGTAAAACAAGGGATTATTACCAAAATGTTCTTTTTTAAAAAAGTATATGATTACAGCAGTTCAAACTTGTACTGGGCAATGTCATACTAGAGGGCATTATACTAATGTGTGAGAGGGGTTTAACAGAATAAAATCCTGCATTCCACCTCCATGAAAGAAAGCTGCAGTGAATCTGGGAGGTGCAACCCAAGCTTAAGGTGTTCCTGAGGGTCTTGCAACCTTGAAATACAAGTAAAGAACCTTCTTTTGAGTACTTGGATTTAAGTGCTGAGAGTCCTGGCAAAGAAGTGCTCTCCCCTGGGAAGAGTCCACCAAGAAGGACTCCTGAGAAGCCGGACACCTTGAAGGTGCTGGCTGTGGAGCCATTTGGCAGTAGCAGAATCCTCACACCCAAATGGGAGAAATTTGACCTGCAAGGCTAGGACAAGGCTGAATCTGAACACAAGGGCTAATGCACAAGATAATTAGCATTCATCCAGAGCAGACATGAGCTCAGAGTTGAACAGTTTGTCTGTGATATATAAAAGATTCTGGGTAATGAATTAGGAGGAAAACGTTTGGAAATCAGAAACCAAAAGACCTTTTGGAATGGTGTGTGGCGTGGTCAGCGATCCTCATTAGCTCATGCATTCATATTCTACGGATGTGGCAAAGTCTGGTTTCCTCCTATTAAAGATCAGCGTGAAGGCTGAAAGAGCATGATGATAACAGATCTGCTTGTCCAGCTGCATGGAGCAGTCCTGGACTCCAGGTGTCAGCCCCCACATGCCCCAGACACCTCTTTTGTGCCCTTTGCTATGGTGAGCCCCTGCTTGGAACTGGGACCATCCTTCCCCACTAAGGGAGGCCAACGTGGCAGGAATAGAAATGTTCACACCCACAGGCAGGCTTGTGTTTTTAGGTTTAATATGTATAATATAATAAACACCTGAGTGCACACCCTGCCCCCAGAAGTGACCAGTGTTTCCATTTGTTTACTCGCCAGAGATCGTTTTTTTTACCCTCCTCTCCAGAGGCAGCCACTAGCAATGAATCGGTGTTTATTTTGCCAGTTAAATATGAGTGCTTAAGTCCCCCTCTTACAGTTGGAAGGTTATGTTAGGGCTGATCTTTTTTATTCTAAAAACTATGACCTTAAAGCCTAGAGGAGTTGAGTACTCCAAAATTGTCTTTTTTTTCTTTCTTTGCACATCCTTATTAAGTTTGGCCTGAAGGGAGTGTAATAGGAAGACTCTAACAGTCTGTGAATTTATTCAGTGCCTTCTCTATGCTACTGAAATAAAAGAAGAGAAAATAGAGAATAAAAGGAAGATATAAAGAAAAAGAACCAATGGCATTGTTCAATATCTCTTATCAGGGCTGTGATGTTTATGTATGTGAACTGGGAAATGGTATAAAATAGTGGCAGGGAGGAACATTTTTCTTTTTCCTCTACCCTCTTAAGCTCTAGTCTGGAGCTCTGTAAATTTGACTGACAAAAGACAGATTAACAAGAGGAAAACAAACAGAAGTTTATTAACATGTGCAGCACACAACACATAGGGGCATTCAGTGATGAATAACTCAAAGGGATGTTAGCACTGGGAGCTTGTATAGAATTCCTAACAAAAGGACCATAAATTTGTAAAAAAGTGACAAGACAAAAAGGATTTCGAGTTTCCAGGGTAGCAAATTGTGGGAAGGTGAATATATGGGGGAGCGAGTGGAAGATAAGAGCCAGTTATGTGGAGTCCTCTGGGTGCCAACTCTGGGATAAGAATCTAGGGTGGTCTTCGGTGATTAACTTTGTCCTTCCTGATAGAGAAAGAAGGACATCTTTATAAATTTAGGTCCTGCTTTTAGGCAAATGGAGAAAGGGCAGATAGCTTTTTCTGTATCTGCTTCTTCTCAGTTGCCTCAAAATAAATCAACATGCAAAAGTGGCATATTTGGGGCTGGCATGTTCTGCTTCCATACAGGGTAGGGCTAAAGGGTACACCTGTATATTCAGAGCCATGTACAGAAGAGTCAGAAGGTATTGTGCATTATCTAGAAGAGGAGACTCTGTACTGAGTAGTTACTGGAAGTTTTATAAATGGAGAGCAACTCTAAATAGGTTGCAGTGAAGGGTTGGTTTTGAGAGCCTGAGGCAGAATGAAGAGGAAGAAATCAAGGGTCCTGGAACATTATCATCCTACAGACAGTATATCTGAGGGTCATAGTGGCAGGTGAGTTCGTATTGTGTGGAGGGGGCAGATTATGCCAGGGGTCTATAGATCAGCTGGAGAATTTTTCAACAGTGACACTGGTAATTATATATCTTTTCAATCATAATAGCTAGTAAAGGGTAATAGTTTAGGAAATACACTCTCGCTGAGTGTTCAAATTTGTAAAAAAACATGTTTGGAGGGGACTTTGTCTCAAAGCCTTAAATATATGTGTTCTTCAGCCCACAAAGTAGACCTGAGGTTTATAACGAAGAAAAAAAAGGAAATAAATTTCAAAAAAGACCATTATCATTATAGATATTCTGTATTTAAAATGGTGTTGCAGTCATGGCAAAATATATGGAATGATCATAATATATACTAGGAACATAGTATATATTAAGAATGAAAGCATAGAAAAACAAACATGCAGCATTTTTTTTTAAAAAAATATGCACATTAACTGGGAAAAAATTATACCTTAATATTAACAATAATTATCTCTGGGGGGTAGAATTACTTCTGATTTCTATTTCTTCTTTTTCCTTGTTCATGTTTTCTAAAATTCCTTTCAATGAATGTTTGATTTTATAATAAGTAAGAAAATTATAAAAATTACAAACCATAACAATTATGCATTTGTTCAAATACCTGAAATATGTTGATCCAGAAGATTGATGAAAATAGTTTCATTTATAAAAGAAGTTATGCTTATTCTAGAATGTGGTGTAAATTACAGTTGTCAAAATTCCCAAATGACCATGTGACTGAGAAAAAACCCAGACATTCTTAAGCTTACAAGACATAAAGAATAACTTAGGCGGTCTCAGAACAGAGTTAGGTAAAGATTTAAAGGCTGAGTTAATTCATTTAAGAAAACGGTGCTCCCCAGAGCACTTCAAAGGAACATTATCATCCTACAGACAGTATATCTGAGGTTAGACTAATATCAGTTGGTTTTTAATGTTTGATAAACTACTCTTCAAACTCTTATATTTTGCTTATCATGACATATGCAACCAAAAACAATGGTACTTCTTTCCTGATATGGGGCATAGTTCTCCCCAATGCAAGAGACTGAGAAAAATTTCTTCTAGCCTTATAATTCTCAAGTTCTATGATTGTAGCAAAAGCTAACATTCAGATTGCTGTGTTACTCACAGTATCATTCTGAAATAAAGAGGAACCTCAAGTGATACAAAGTTGTACATTCATTCACAAAACACTTTGTGTTTTGAAGTCAGTGAAAAGTTACTATCATATCTGAATTAAGTGCTTTTTGTGTAGGGCCAGTGACCAATTTTAATGGACTTAATCTGACTCATGTAGCAGTACTTTAATAACTTTAAAAATATACATACATGAGTATTAGAATTAATTAGCTCTTCCACCATGGTGTGTGTGTGTGTGTGTGTGTGTGTGTGTGTGTGTGTGCGCGCGCACACACACACATAGGTATGCACACAGCATCAAATGCAGGATAGCTGAGATAGAAGAGAGCAACTGATGATGACAACTGCCTCTTGTTACAGTGTAACAAGGGTAAAGAAGCATCCCAGATAACTATGTTACCTCATTCACAGATATACCTATTTAAATAAATTTTTCAAAAAAAGCAAGCAAGCAAACAAACAAACAAACAAAATTACAAACAAGTGGGGAGCATGCAAGGATAAATAACCATACTGGACCAGAATTGAGGTGAATCACTGATTCAACTTCGTATAGTTAGGATCCAAATAGGGGGGAAAAAGAAAAAAAGAAGAACATAATTGTTACCCTAAAAGATTTGCCTACCTGCTGGAAATACGGTCAAGAAAACTTACACAACTTTTCTTTTTTTTTTCCAGCAAAAACTTTTCTTCCTTGTTCCATTACATAAGGTGAATTTTGATGAAATTTTAGTCCCAGAAATTTGCTTTTGAAATTATATTGTTTGTTCCTTAGATGTCCAACATATCTTAGAAATTAAGTACCCACAGCCTTTAGCATCAGCTGGGATCTGGGTGACAGGAAGGGCAGGTGTTTTCAGCTGAAACTGGGCAGCAATCAAATTAGATGACAAATCATTGCTATTGTTTTCATCTCAGCTGTGTTATTGTCCTCTACCACCCTGATTTCCATTCTCAAAATTGATTGGAATCATGGCACATGTTTTGGAATGCATTGTTAAAATCTCTAGTGTTATAAAATGGATAGAAAAGGCCACGAAAACATTAAATTAGTGGTTATTTTCCCTCCTTATAGCAGTGACTAAGAAAAGAATGAAGTTAACCCCCTCCCAACCTCACATCATTCATACCCTGTACACAGAGCTCTCTGGAATGTATCTGTGCTTGGAGGTGGGCAGTGTATGTGTGTATGCATAAACACTTACGAAAAGTGGTAGGGAAATTCACAGCCCAGCTATTCAGAGATGCCTGACACAGAGAAGGGGCCTTATTTCCTGAGCTTTTATTTGAAATAGTAAGTATCAGAAAGTTGGGGGTACATAGCCATGCGGCGGAATTTTTCCTCAAATGTTCCCAGAAGCAAATTAACTTTTTTATTTGATATTATCATAACCAAAAAAATATATAAATACTTTTGTGTGTGTGTAGTTCAGTGTCCCTGGACCCAAGCATGAGGAGAATGAGCCTCCAGAGCCGACATGGGCTCATAGATTGGTTGTTACTTCCTCATCTGAGGCTGCTGCCACTCTCGGGCCACTGCTCAGCACCCTTGAGAGTATGAAAACCAGAACTCCAAGTCCTGGACTGATTTTACACCAGGATAATTTGGTGCACAAAGGTAAGAGACACCTAGCAATCAACTGCCGTACCTACCACATGAGGCAGGCACAGAAAGATGGTCTCTAAAATCTCATTTAAAAAAGAATGCACTGACTCTAATCAGGGAGGACAAAAGATATTTTTTGCTGGGTTATATATAGACTTGTAAACTGGCTGACTGTGGAATAAATTTTATTATAAAAGTTTTAAAGCTGTTTATTTTATTTTAAATGTTATTTCAAATTGAATGCCTTTAGAGAAGATTGTGTTCCGTTTGCCATAGTCCAGCTGCTCCCTGTTGTCTTACATGTGGCTTCCATACACGTAGGCATTTGAGGTTTTGACCTCTTGATTGCACAAGAAAGAGAAAAAAAGACAAAAATTTAGATTTTGATTTATCAACATATTTTCTTTTTTTTTAAAATTGGTTTTATTTTTTAAATACATGACAGCGGAATGCATTACAATTCTTATTGCACACCAACATATTTTCTATGGAGTTAATATATATGAAAAATTATATATATGCATATATATATGCATTTTTTGTGAAATATGCAAGAAAAACAACTTCCCTGTTTAGATTGGCTTGAAAACAAGTTATACAATATACAGTATTTAGTTTTTAAGAGCAGAGGTAGAGGAAGTATGTTTCTTCCTATTTGGTCTAAGGAGCCTTTATAAGAGCTGGAGAAAGAACTCATTTGCTACAGAGAAATGAAACTTGTGACTCAAACCAACTCACACAATAAAAGTCACAGGCACAATTATCCATTTGGTCTTTTAATTAATTTATTGGCTTCTCCCACCTTGGATTAACTTCAGGTAGGAAATGTGAATCAAAGTACTATGGAGAATCACAAAATAGAAAGGGATTTAACATTATTGGCACGGTGGTATGGCCTTGTAGTCTCAGCTACTCTGTCGGCTGAGGTGGGAGAGTCACTTGAGCCTATGAGTTTGAGGCCACATGGTGAGACTCCATTTCAAAAACAAAAAAGAGAGGAAAGAAAAAAGGATTGAACAGATTGAAAGTTCTGTGATTAGAAGAATCTCATTAGTATAATATGACTTTATTGTTATGACTTGCCTTTGCTTTCTTACAGTGGGTACATTTCTGAAATTTATTAGTAAATTGACTTTAGAATGTCATATTTTTAGCATCCTATAAGAGTTGTCCTTTAGAGGCATTGTGATATAAAGAGCCTCTCATTTTCCTGCCTTTGGTGACTTACAGGGTTTTTCTTTTTAGGCACACACAGTGATACTTTCTATGAATAAACTGAAGGTGTAAGTCATTTTCATTCCAAATACTAACTTGATTTAAAATCAAATCCAAAGTAAATGGAAGAAGTCCTATCTTTCTCATATCAACAAATCCCCACAAAAGTATTAATAAATAAATTCTCACACTTTCAGGAAAATGTGCATTTTTATTGGGGTTTCATAAAGATCAAAAACTTTTGTTTTAAATGAATGAATATGTAGTGGTAGAGTTTCAGGTAGTAGGCAGAATTTTGGGGTTTTTTTTTTTTGATCCCTTGTTTCATTTAGAATCATATTTTCTTAGTTGGTCTGCTAATGTGTCGAAAGCATATTTTAAAAATATAACTTCATAAAGCTTTTACTTTTCATCCCAGTAAAGAAAAACCTCTAGTAATGCATTATCCTTTTCCCACCCCAGATCCTAGATGTTTGGAAGACTTGAAGCCTGGAAACTGTGTTGATTATGTGGTTCGATGGTATTATGACAAACAGGTCAACTCGTGTGCCCGCTTTTGGTATAGTGGCTGCAGTGGCTCAGGAAACAGATTCAACAGTGAAAAGGAATGCCAGGAAATCTGCATTCAAGGATGAGTAAGTAAATTAACCTATCTCTATTGAAAGCCCAGAAATACTCCAATTCAAAGAGGGCACCATTTTGTGTTTTTATAATTTAAAAATGTAATGAAATCCTCACAACAACCTTATGATGTGGGTGGTGATGTTAACTTCTTATATAGCCGAGAAAGCTAAGACACTGACAAATTTAGCAGCTTGTCAATTGTCAATCAACTAAAAGGTGGTGGAGCTGGGGACTGGAACTCAGGGCTGTATAACTTTGATACACAGGCTCTATCTGCTTCATGACCTGTGATCTGAGTTTGATTCCTGTTAATTCCTGTCATACATATTATGTTAGGTCAAACACCCATCTCTGCTCATGGCCCCACTCCCTCACACCTTCACACCTTTGTCACTAGCAGAAGGTAAGTGGTGGGGAAGGACTTTGGTTGAAATTAGAAGTGATCAGGATTTTTTTTTCTGTAAGTGGACACAATACCTTTATTTATTTATTTTTATGTGGTGCTGAGGATCAAACCCAGTGCCTCACACGTGAGAGGCAAGTGCTTTACCACTGAGCCACAACCCCAGTCCAGTGATCAGGATATTTTTATGCATGAGTGCTGGTTAGGCATGGATAAGGTGAGGGCAGTGAGATTTTTGCCATACATGCCCCAAAAGTGATAGTACAGAGAAATCAATCTGGATTAAGATGACTATAGTGTATTATAAACTGTTACTTCCTGTTTCTCCAACATGTTTGATGAGACCTTCATTGGATGTTTCAGTCAAAAATTTAAACACAGCAACTTTAAAAGTACATGAATGGAATTTTTGATTCGATGGGGATGGAATGAGAAGGCACTTGGCAGCCAAGAACTACTTGAAGCCCACATCTACTTTTGAGCAGGATAATTTAAAGATAGGACTCACACTGAAAAATGAGCCATCGAATTGCAATATGAGTAAATGGAGAGTTCAGTCTGTCATTTTATAATAATTTTATGACATCAAGTCTGGGAAGACCATTAATTCTGAGCTGAGCTCAGACAGCATTTCTACGTATCATCTGACAGCATGCTTTCTCCTTCTTTCAGACTGTGACTCTCATTCAAGTTCAACAATGCAGAAAAGAACTTTCAAGGAAGAAGGAAGTGGAAGAATAGCCATCTTAGCAAAAATAATATTATAATTCTGGGATGTAATTAAAATTGTATTATGTAATATTTGATACTACAAAAGAGTCCTTGTAAATTTAAAAACATAATAGGATGAACACCAGTGAACACACACATCAGGGAATGAACCAAACATTACCCACTCTATTGAAGTTTTTGAGTGCCATCTGCCACCACAGCCCCCCATTCTATGCTAGGGACATATTTTGAACATATACAACTGTTGCTACTGGTTTTATAGGTACTTTTACATGTAAAACTATATGTATCTCTAAGCCATGTTTAGTCTTGAATATTTTAGAGCTTTGTAAAAGTGGCAGCAGACTTTAGTCTTCGGCAACTTCCATTCAACTTTATAATTAATCATATATTTTTTCCATATAAAATATATTCCTAAATAACTTATTATTTAGTTTTTTGAGCTTTAGAAAATTGGTGTTATAAATGGATGTGGTGGCCTATACCTATAATCCTAATGACTTTGGAAGCTAAGACAGGAAGATTGAAAGTTCAAGAATGGCCTGGACAACTGAGTGAGACCCTGTCTCAAAAATCAATCAAGCAAGCAACAAATTAATTAAGTAATCAATTAATTATATGGGCTGGGGACAGCTCTGGGATAGAGCACTTGCCTAGCATGCTCAAGGTCCTGGATTTGATACCTATCACAAGAAAAAACAAATATTAAAATTGTGTTATATAGTTCTCCATTGTTTGCTAGACTATTAATTGTTTATATGCATTTATTTCACAGTTGTGTAATGTTTATGTGAATATACCACAATATATTTATCCATTACTTTGGAATGATCAAGTTGTTTCTATCTCCTTTTTTTCATTATTTTATCAACATTATCATGAAAGCTTTTATTCATGTCACATCCACATCAGTGTTTTTCTAGTGTATCTTGCTTGGTTGCAGGGCATGTGAATATTCAAAACTAGTATATGTCATACCAATTTTTCCTCAAAGTGTTTGAACCAATTTATTATAAGTTCCCAAGAGTTGTACAGAAGAGTTATCAGAGAGCTTAATTTTGTTAAGTTGAATGAAAATGGTATCTTGTTTTAAGGTAGCATTCTCTGGTGCCATCCTACAATGCCTAGTCAGCATCTGTGCTGCTGTTTCTGAGAAATGCCTGTTTATAACTGTGGGAAATCTTTTTTTTTAATTGGACTTTTTACTTTATTGAATTCTTGGAGTTTTTTTTTTTAAATATAGTCTGAGTTTTAATTCTTTGCTTGGATTTGTTTTGCTGACATCTTTAAAGCTTATCTTTTAAGTTTTCTTTCCCTCCCTTCATTGCTTCCTTCCTTCCATTTTTCTGTCTACCTTGATTGTAGAGCAGTGAGATTTACCCATCTCCCCTTTTGCAGTTAACACTTTTTGCTCCTTCTTAATGCCTCTCAGCTTCTCAACACTCTTTCTTGGATGAGAAACTTCTCCAGGACCAAAGTCATTGAGTTCCCATCATTTCTCTAGATTCCCATCTTTATACCTAGTTATTCCATTATCTTTATTAACTCCTTGGTAATTTCTAGGTGATATCTTTTTCAATTTGTTTAATTTTCTTTAGTTGTCCTTGGCATGAAAGTATGAGCTATATAAATATCTCCCCCCACCCCCAGGATAGGGATCTATCCTTGCTAGGCAAGTGCTCTACCAATGAACTATAACCCCTAGAATTCTATCAGTTTGGGGTTAGGGCTTCACATATTTTCTCATTTCCTGGAAACTCATCAATGCATTAAAAAGTATATATTAGCCACCATAGTTTGTTGAAAAGTAGGACACTTCAGGGTATCTAGGCTGTTATTTTGATGGGAGAAAAAGTATTTTTATTCCTCTTTCAAGCTTTTCGTAACTGTACCCCCACTGAAAATTGATATGCAAACATATTATCAGGTTGGTTTGGGTATTTGTCTCTTCTTCTGAAATATCCTTGTTTTTCTTCCATAACTAGCAAAGTCCTAACACTCCAATGACAACTGAGAGGTTTCTTCCTTTGTGGTTCCTTCTCATCCCTATCTTGCTCAACACCAAGGACCCAAAGTACTTGGTTTATGTCTCCGTTCTGCACATTCTTCACAAGCTGAGCCACTTTGTACTTTTTTGAGGCACATCCACATTAATTTCCTTTTGCTGCTATAACAAAAGACCACAGGTTTGGTATCTTAAACAACAAAAATGTGTTATCTTAAAGTTCTATACCTCAGAAATCTGTTGCGGATCTCCATGGTCTAAAATCAAGGTGTATGTAGGGCTGTGATTCTTCTGGAGGCACTGGAGGAGAATCCATTTTCTTGCCTTTTCCAATGTCTAAAGGTTACCCACATTCCTTGGGCTGTGGCCTCTTCCTCTGTTTTTAGAACCAGCAAATGCAGGTTCATGTTATCTTTCTGGTTTACAGCCAGCAAAGGATCTTTGCTTAAAGGACTCATATGATTAGATAGGTCCACTTAAATACTCCAGAATAATCTTCCTGCCTCAAAGTCCTTCATTTTGGTTACACCTACAATGTCCTTTTTGCCATGTAAGATAGTGTATTCACAGATTTTGGAGATTAGGAAGTAGACATCTTTGGGGCCCTTACACTGTCTAGTTGCTCTTGGAGCAAAGACATCCATACCTTGTTTGTCTCCATGTCTCTACTTCCTTACACACAGGACAACCTCAATACATTTTTTAAACATTGAATTCATTTTATAAAAGCCATTACATAAATAAATAGCTACTTGCAAGAGAAATATAGGAAAATTAGGGAAAAAATCATATCAGTTTAAAAGGAGGCTAAGAGAAAAGTGACATGTCAATGAGCGAAAACTATTACCTTCTGATTCACTTTGAGATTAGCACCCACTCTCTCCCTCCCCACCCCATCATTAGCAACCCAAAGGGAGAAGTCAGAGGGATTATTGTCTAACTAGATTAGAGATCAAAGAGAACAAATTGAACTTTGTGTGAATTAATTCTGGACAAGAGGCTGATGGTTTACATTCCATTATTTCCATTTTAGCATACTCTTAAAACTCCTAATGAGAACATTTCTTGACAATTAAAAAGCCAACAGAGATGGGAGAGGTACATGACATTTTGTTTTTCTATTCTCATGAAAACAAGGACAGAATGTGTATATGACATGCTGAAAACAAGAATATGTATCTAAAGAAGTCTCCATTTAAAATTAAGACATGAAGAAATTTTTAGAATTTTATTAAGTATGAATGATGTTTCACAATTTTACTAATAAAAACTCATTGGTATGTTAAATATCTCAGATGATTATTTCTATTATATTTATTTACTGGAAAACTCAGCTTCAGTAATTCCAAGAAATGCTCTAATCAGGTGTTTGTAGAGTATTCTAAATGTATAAAATGATAGGCTTCATGACTTTAGTCTTAATACTGATCTTAAACACAATATAAGTAAAAAAAATCAATGAGAGAAAGTTATTTGCGATACAGTATAACAGAAATTTGTATATGTCTAGTAAACCCAGAGATCCTGCAAATCAAAGAGAATAAAAAAAAGAAAACTAGGAAAATGAAAAGAATCAGCAATTCAAAGAAAATGGACAATAAATATATGGAAAGATATTCTAATTAAATTATGGTAGAAATGCACATTAAAACAGGCCCAGATAGGGCCAGGGTATATTAACAAGTGCAAGTGATTCTCCTGAGAAGCCCTGCTGAGAACCACCAATGGGTATTTGAATTCTGCCAGCCTTAACAGACAGCCTAACATTTGACTTGAAATGTTAGCTGTTTAGCTATTTTATGCCCTTTCCTTCTACGAATCAATAATTTAATGTCTTTAGTGAATAGCATTGCAAAGACATATTTTGTTGAAATGTCCAAGATTTTTTCTCCTCCTCATGACATCTTGAAGTGAAATGTCACTAAAATAGGTTAGAATAGTCCAGAAATGTGTGCATGTGCTTGCTAAAATAATGACAGTCACAAATCATCTTTCACACATTTATTTGTGACATTTCATTTTTTATTTTTTTTAAATATTGAACTGACTTCACTCTAGGCAATGATTATTTCTTATCATTTCATAGAAATCAGTGGTCTTTGAAAAAAAATCTTTAAACAATTTGCTTAAAGTCATACCTGATTCTAAAACATTAGAAATTTTGGGTCTTAATTTTAATCTGATTAAGAAAATAATAGCTTTTAGACTCACCCAGATTCCTTCAGAGTCATGCATCTCCTTGGTTGTTTATCAGATTTAGACAAATACCCTGAGGGACTTGTCTAAAACTGCTTGGGTTTCTGGTAGGACATTTTCTCCTCCTGCGACAGCCCATTTTCTAGGGAACACTGACTCTCACTGCTGTAACTGGAGCTGGATGCCTCCTGGCTTCACCCCCTCACACATTACTGCTCCGACCTCATGGAGCCATAATAATGACTGTGTTATTATTTTAAGATAGCCAATATTAAAAAAAAAAAAGATAGCCAATATATCCTCTTTCATCTGACTTTTGTCAGCAGCTTCTCCTGTTTCCAGCTCTTTACAGTCCTATCCTCCAATTCTGAGCATGCCCCTCCAGCTTCTGAAGATATTTTTGGTGACTAGAGAGGGGTAAGTTAACACATCCTGTGTTCCAAGTATTATATTCAATAGGGATTCCACCCAAGATGGCTGCCACATCAATTGGAGACAGGAAAATTTCCCTCTATCTTGGAAGCAAAAAGAAATACAAGAATTACATAATAGGGTATGCATCCCCCCCCCCGCCCCCGCCACCCCCATAGTAGGGGAAATAGGTAGTAAGGTAGTAGGAACTCAGGGACTTGCTAGGTAAACACTCTACCACTGAGCTCCACCCCCAGCCCCATAAAGGGAATTCTAAATAGCAAATTAGGAATTGTGGATTGCAAAGACAGCCAAGTACAGACTTCTCTCCATACTTTTCTCTGAAATGGACTGGAGGCTTCAATTTTATTTTTACCGTCCTTCAAATTTGCCCTTACACTCCCCACTCAAGAGTTTCTTGACATTATTTTAAAATACTAATGAAATTCTCCAGTTATTTCCTCCTTGGCATATTAGTTGGTGTTATGTTAAATTTATCATTTGGCCATTTTTCCTCTCTTGCATTTTAATGAGGAGAGCTATGTTTTGCCAGTATCTGGAACTTGGGATTTTTTTTTTTTCAAACTGATTCTATTATGAATAGCACTGCTCAGACTTGCCTTCAGCTGTTTAAAAAGCAACAATAACAAAACCAGAACATGTCCCTGCTGGAAAACACAAAACCAACTCCTTCCCTTATGTAATTATCTCATTTCTAATCTTCTAAGAAATAAATATTGGAATTAGTGCAGATTTTCTCTGTGGTGTATTACATGCTTTATTATTAGAAAAACATTGACAAAGGCAGTAAAATTGATAAAAATTGTGCTGCTTCAAATTTTGGCATATTATTTAAGCTGTTCCCATGTGAAAAATTTGAAGCAAAGTCTATTAAATTTTGCTTTTTGTCACTGAACACCTTCATTGCAAACCTGAAGTCCCTCTGTATTCCATTTTTACATGAGTGTACGATCCCCAGCCAGTGACCTCATCTGACCACTGGGAAACATTCTAGACTTTCTTCTTTCTCATTCCTCATGTCTGATTGCTCAGTAGGTCTGGACCAACTTACTTCTTCCTGTTCCTCTCCACTGTGGACTCTTCATTGCTCCTGGCTTCCCAATTGGCTTCCTCACCTCCAATCTTACCACTCACCTCCCATCTCTACCTACACAGTACTGGGGAATTATAGTAATTCAGACCCAATCATCTTCCTCCT